CACTCGGCCCCTCTCGGCTCGCCGGCCGCGCAGGGCTGAGGCCGGGACGTGGGTCTCACTGCGGGTGTACCCTCTGTTTGCGTGTCGTTTGCTGGGCGCTTGGGAGGTTGCCGGACCGCCTCGGTCAGGTGTGCAGCCGGGCAGGTGTTCCGTGAAGTAATTCTCTACATGTACGTCACGTGCAAAACCAGGCACACGAAACCGCCTAGGCAGCGGCGGTGCCATCTCTCCGTTTGTCAGAAAAGGGAGAATCCACGAGGGAGCGTGCCCGCGTGAATGCTCGCGTGGCAAAGCTTCATTCGGACACGGGGGTCGAGCGACAGCGAGACCCCAAGCCCTAGGAAGGCAGACCTCATTAGTTGCGGGGCTCGTGGGATTCGTTTTGACATGTAAGTACGTGGAGCTGCTGTGAAATTACATGTTTCCCAGGCAAGGTTTTAATTAGGCAAAGATTTGAATGTATATTTGAGTTTATATCAGTGGCCCTATTTAGTAAAGGTGCTTTTGCATCCCTGCTCTTTCTCTGTTCTTGGCGGTAGACTCCTTCAGTATGGCAATACAAACTTACAATTCTTTAAAATACATGCTTGTAAACTTTCATTGCAGTCATGCACATTATTTAAGGAGTACAGGTTCAACAGGAGACAGGGAGGAATGAGTCTCACGGGAGCCTTTGCCTTTCACAAGGTTCTCAGATACATCTAACAGACCTTTCCTTTCCGTAGCTGTGAAGCACAGATCACAAGGTCGGTCTGCTGTTACAACTTCCGCTTAATTGCTCCGTGAGAATATGCTGCATATCTAATCTAGAATATAAACTTTTATAAATAAAAGTGGACTGAAATACTGAGTATTTTTAGCTTATATTTTTCCTAGACCCTCCGTTTTGTTTTTTATCTTCACCGTAAAAAACCCAAAGGAATGGTGAAAATGGGTATAATGGGCCTTAAGGCCCAAATGAATTTTTCAGACTGTGAAGAGGCTTCCCCAGAGTATGTAATTTCACCACCAAACTCTTAATCTTATCAGCAAAATCAAAGACACGACTACGTTTCCCTTTAGCACGTGGCCCTGTCTACATCTGCGGTAATACCACCCTTTTGAATATCGATTCCCACTTCAGTGCTTGAGCTGAGACAGAAGATTGTAGATGCAAGTGGAAAATAAATGTAGATTTCCAAAACCAAAACGAGTGAAAGCTTGCTAAGCTCCTGACAAGTGTTCTTCTCTGGTTCAGGAAGTGTCCCTTCTTGAAATAACGAAGCAGTTGTCCCTTCTTGAAATAACGACCAGGCCCAGTCAACTCCCTGCAGACAAGCTCTTCACAAATATTTAAAAAACCAGTTCCCCGATGTTTCAGGGAATTTCCTCATGCAATCTGATGCATGCGAGAGACAAATTTCATACTCTGTATTTACTATTTAATACAAATTTATGCCAGGGTTTCTCTTTATAGAGTCTTTGCTTGTACTTTGCTTATAGAAAAAGTTCAAACAACCTGACATAAATCAATAACATTATATACAACCTATTATATTTCAGTTAATAGAATTATATGTGAGATATTGGCTCGTGTATCCTGCAGAAATGGGAAACAACGCAGGAATTTTTCAAGACATGGGAATTAGTGCTAAGGTCTATACGCAATAAATACCCTTTTTAGATTACGCACTGCAGACACAAAGCAGCGTTGACACAGAGTCAGTCATCTATTCTGTAGCTTCCAGATAAATTTACCACAATGACTTCAGGTAGGCCTCCAGCTATACTGACGACAAAAAGTACAAGAAATAGATAAAACCAAACCACAAATATTTCACCTTTTTCTTCGGAAGATTTATTCAAATGAAGTCAAACAACCAAATCACGTGACAACTTAAAATAACTGCGTTGCTAGCACAGTTTTGCATTTAGTATTTCCAGAAAAAGATCCTAAATTTAAGAGAGTGAAAACAGTCTTTCTTAAAGTTGTATCAAAAAGTAAGAATGGTCTAGCATAAAGAATTTTCAAGTCAGGCTGGTTTTCTCTGAAGATTTGCTGTTCATCAGAGGCAAAAATAAAACGTGTCCGTCCATCTTTTTGAGTAAGAAGTGCTTCCCTTCCAACTGGAAGATCCAACTTAGTAGAAGTTTTAGTAATTCTCTCTTCCAAAATGACCTGGATGAGCTGAAAATTAGAAAGAAACATGGCAATGTTTTGACCGTAGGGACTGCAAATCATTGTTTCTCCCTTCATTGAATAAAAAAAGTATTCTCTCTTCCTTCCTGCTGAACCCGAGGTATTTTGCAGATACCCAACCTTCTTTTACATCAGTTAACCCAACAAGAGGAGCTACAACTGGGTTTCCTCATAGGGTGGCAAAAGTCTGATGGGAGGCCACATCCACTTTCTGATACATCATTCACACTTTATACGTGTGCATTAAGCCCTTCTATTCTTTTTCAAAACAAATAGTCTCAGCCTGTCTCTCCCCCTGATGGGGACTGCTTTTTCATGCTGACATCCTGGCTTTTTTAAAATCAGCGGAAGTTTTGCTACTGAATGTAAGCAGGGTCAAGAATTTACTCTCATTTTTTGATCATTTTAGTTAATGATTTCACTTGATCTCTGTATCCGGGATTATACAGACCACTCAGATGAACACTCATTGTTCCTTTAAGTGAAGTAGTTAACGATGTCCTTATTTTTTTCTCCCCTTTTAACAAATCAAAGTGTTTGATTTGCTCTCTGCCGACAGAGCTACGAACAGTGTAACCTCTGTCTCTCTGCACCCTGATTTGCAGTATATTGTATGTTACGGAGGTGTGGAATTGGATTAAAAGCTACAGCACGGTGCTCTGCGGATAAACCCATTGCAGGTGTGCAGTTTAATAGGATTTTAATTTGGTAACAAGTGAACAAAGAGAGGAAGCCTAGAATGGGATTTTCTAGATCAAAAAATGCTATTCGTGCTGAGAGAAGGCAACTGCAAGCTGTGTGATAAGGAATAAAGATTGCGCCAATGCTCCCTGAGCTGTACTTCTATAGATTACGGCTCACTCAGAGCATCTTCGTGACTGCCACCGGTTTCAACAATTCTTGGTTCATACTACGTGCGTTTGGCTATACCGCATTTCATCTGCCGCACTCCCCGTTAAGCCACTGTGTTCAAATCTTCTATTGTCTCACTCCCCGCCCTCTGCATTTTTTCATCGAAAAATAATGTTTTCCTCGGGAGATGTCACCAACTTGGTTTTCAAGATTATTAACAATTATTTTCATGCTTCAAATTATATAAAAAAAAGATTCAGAAATGTGCTGCGCTGTTCAAAATAAATGGAAAAACACAGTCTCTCTGCCGAGGAGTGTAATTTATGTTCAGCATGAACTAGGAATGGAGGACCAAAAACAGATGGGGAAGGAAGAGGAAGAATGAAGGTGACAACGAAAAGATCATGAAGGGATATGCTAAGCCACAGGCACATAGTGATGCTGCTGCTATCAGGGCAAGGTTGGGAGATTCTTTTCTGATTTCTGTTACCAGTCCTCCTTCTTGTTTTTCCAGTGTTTCATAGCAAAACTGAGTTTTTAGCACTGATGTCAATGAGATGAGGGTGGAGGTGCGATGAACAGATTTTTTTCCCAAGCATAACAGGCTGTAGAGAAGGCATAGAAATGCCTTGTGGGACAAGATGAAAAAGATACGGAGGTTGGTGGTGTTGGCAGAGGATGGACTGGAGGATGGGAACTGACGAAAGACACTGGGTCGCAGAGAGCTGCAGAGGCTGCGTGAGGTAAAGGAGTTAAAAGGAAAAAATTATGAAATACACCCGTGATGCACAGAGCGGTATGTCAGGCAGCAGAAATGCGGTCCAGGAAACAGCAGCGTGGCTGGTGGATGCTGCTAAGGCTGCTGAGGGTTTAGATACCCCGCAGAACGGGTTGTGGCCAAAGGGGGATTAGTCAGGAACAGGGACAGATGGTTGCTTGGGAGCATGATGATGATTTTTGGTGATCAAAAGTCACGGAACACAAATCCTCATGCAATGGGGATCTATTCAGAGGATCTACAGAGATGGCGGTACAAACAAAGTGGTGGGTGATGGAGATGCTTTTGGCAGCTGTGTTTTTCAGCAACCTGTGGAATTAGTATTGGCACCCAAAAAGAAGGAGCCTGCGATGGTTCAGGTGGGAGCTACCACCCGTTTGAAGGACACAAGTAGGCAGAAGTGCTCACTCTGTCACAGCTCCTGAAACCCTTTTGAGCTGCAGGTTCAAGTCTTTCAGCTCCCTCACAAACTGCAAACACTTGAACCCAGCATCAACAGGCTCTTACTAGAATCTCTTTTTCATCCCACCATTATCAGCATCTTGCACGTGGACTGGTAGAATCCATCGGCTGTTGGGATCTTTAATCTCTAAGCTCTTTCTACACTCTCCCAATCCTTCACTGTCTCCTTCCCTCCGTACCTTCTCTCAAGTCATCATACTCCCCATCTCACATTTTATACCCTTCCTCTCTCACTCTGACACCCCTCGTCCCTCACTCTAATCAGCCTTGCTCTCTTCTTGACATCATGTACAAAATACGCAGAACTGATAAGATGTATTTATAGGCACATCACTTACCCAGACAAAATCTGGGTCAAACCCTTGTCTGCCGACACCTGCGTAAGAGCATCACAATGGGCATAGTGGGCCATACAAAAGCCCATATGGGCAGCACAGTGAAAGAGCATAGGAAGCAGGGCAGATACTGAATAAGATTTCTACTGGTTTACCTCCTAATTTCTGACCATCAGTGGTTTAGAGATTCCTTGCTTGTAGCCTGCACCCAGCTCAGTTCGGTTTTGGACATTAAGGTGGTATGGCATTATATTACATTTGAAAAATAACAAAAGCTGTCAAACATGCCCATCACATGTATAAGTCATTCTTGGTTTGTCCCCTTTGTGTCTTCTTTCTCCCCTCCAATTTTCATTGCTGAACTAGTTTTAGCATATCTTATATTTAAAACACAAGGGTCCACCAAGGGTCTTTATAACTAATAAAGATGTTTTTAAAACAGTCCATTTCCAGTCCTGGTCCTAGCTTATGGAAGCTGAATACATCTTGGGAGTAAAATAACTATAGCAGGATCACCCCCAAAATGTAATTTTCTTTGTGAGTCTTGGTGCCATTAACATTTGTCCAGCACTGTTTTCTGGAAAACACAGTGTTCTCTGAGATTTAAGACACGTGCTGT